ACTAGTAGTAACAAGGAAGCTACTAGGAACAAGTGCATCGCTACTAGCTTGCTTGCTACCGGTAGGGGTAGGCGATCTCATTTCCGCAGTTCTCAACTACCCCGTCGGACCGTCGGAAGCAACAAGTTGTTCTTGCTTTTTGCATGTAGAACTCCAGTTTTTCTGGTTGCTTAACCCCTTTGTGCAGTTCAGATACTGTCAAGACGCCGTTGCTTGGTTTCGAAATTGCCATCAAAGGTTGTGCTTATTCCTTTTTAAGAACGAATTTAATCTTGGCATGTTCAGCCTTGAGCTGTGCCTTTTCTTCTTTTTATCAACATGTCCTTTCTCTTACGTTTTTGCCCTCATTTTGGCATTCATTTCTTTCTTGTCCTGTTTCTTGGTGTTTGCATTTGATGCGTCACGCGCATATGCGAGCACACATATGGGAGAAGAAGGATGTTGGACACACATGAGCAAAGAGATTATATCACTTAATGTATATACATATATATATATATATGTGAACATTCACATAAGAGCATAAGCAGCATAAGCATGAGAGCACACATACACCAAAGTTGAATACTTTGCCTACCACAATCTACGCTTCGAGGCTGCCAAAGGATCGTGCCTGCAAATCCACATCGCGCAGCCATGGCGCTTCGCGCCACCAAAGCGAAGCTTTGCACGAGACTTCACGGTCAGATGTTTCACTGCGCCTGCCTAAGCACGTTTGCAACGAGAAATGCACCAAAACACGAGGATCAACCGCCAAGCCCGAAAATGCGCACGCCAAAACAGCTGTGGCTGCACCGAGATCGTACGATCGAAAGCTGCGACGCAGACGCGAACCGCGATTCGCAAGCAGTCTTAGCCAAACGCTTGTGGTGTGGCCACTCGAGGCAGTGATGGAGCACAGACATGCACACCAAATTTACAGAACGGACTGAAATGCCAGCCATTGACCCTCGCCAAATTGGAAGAATTCGGATCAGGTCCAGATCTCGACACGGATCAGCATACCACTTGCGCCCCCGAACCACCTGTATTTAGATGTCTAAAATATCCGACAAGCGATTGGTGTGCAACAACTTGATCAATCTTATTTTGTCAGGTTGGTGTTCTCGGACTGCGAAGATGATCCCGCGGGCGGCTCAGTTTCCTTTCTGCCTGCTTGTGAAAAGACTCAGCCAAAGACTCCGCGATGGGCCGTGCAGGTGAAAAACGTGCGCTTTGTGGCGGCTTCCGAGTCGAATGTTTTTCGCTTTCAGCTAGGCTAGGCACAGATGGCCGAGAGGGAAAACAACTGCAGTTTCGGCGTTGAGAGTGAAAGGACAAGTAATTTGGTGACAGCAATGTCGAGAAACAACCATCATGTTGGTGTTTACATTTGCTACATAGATGTCGGTTCAATGCGTTGACATGGGGCTTGTTTTCTCTATTGTGTCTTTTTTAGGCCGACAATGCGGACATCCAGAGGATGGTGCTGATGCTTCAGGAGAACCACGTTTGGCTTTCCCTGCGGACTGTGCCTCCACCAGGCCATGCTGCCGCACTATAGGATGGCCTCCAATCTACTGGCGATGGCCTCCAACCCAGGAGCGATAGCCTCTACCGTAGTAGCAATGGCCTCCAACCTGACCTAAACACTTAAGTAGATTGCATTCTTATTAACGATTTGAAGTGTTCTGGGCCAACCCCTTTGTGGATTAGTGTTTGTATGTTCTTTTTGTGAAATACCTAAAGAGAAAATTAAACAAACTTGATTAAAGAAATTCAAAGGAAGTCAAGAGGAAAGTAGTTCAATAGAGGTATTCAAGAGGATGTTTTTGTAATAAAGGGAATTCACAAATAATCAAGGAAATTCACAAACAAAGATAAAGAAACATGATAACGTAGACGTGATTGCAGGGAATGTCTTTATTAAAGCCAAAAAGGGCAGACATTATGTAAGATTTCTAGTGTATTGGGCTAACCCAATCTGATCAAAGAGTTTAACAGGAAATCAACAGCAACCAAAATGAATTTCAAGGGAAACCAATTGGGGTCAACTGGAAATCATTAAGTCAAGCGGGTTGGTGAAAAGAAGCAGTGTTTAAGGACTTTTAACATATCCTATACAGTATATTAAAACGTGCTACAAACCTCCTATTTTTAGCAATGCTGTGCAAAAATAGCAAAAGACCAAAAGCCAATGATTTCTAGTTTTTTTCTCGGGAAGTGTGGTTTCAGACTTTTGATTTGATGCATTTTTGACTTCCTTTTGTCTATCACGGTTCAACAAAAAGAAGCAAATAATATATTGTTGGTGCAATCTTAGATAAAAAACAAACATGCAAAGACCGCAAAACAATTAGAAAACAAAAGCAGGTCTGAAACCAAACTTCCAAAAAGAAAAGGTTTTTCCCGTTTGGTGTTCGATCATGAAAAATGATAAAAATGGTAGGTGTTCAACACGTTTAACTATACATATTAGTTCAAACACAACTTAAAACATTGGCTTTTGAGCACTTGGAAAACGCATTTGTAGTCGTCAACTAATGAAGAGCACTGATTTCTGATAGGGTCAAAACATAGCTTGTGTTTGGGTAGGCTACAGAAACAGCTGTAGGTAGATCATGGGCGGGGGGTGTCCATATATATATATGTCAAGATCCTTCATTTCAGTTTTTTGGGGAATCAACGGTAAAAATCACTGAAAAATATAATGTCTAGAGTTTCGCGGTTTTTGTGGTGCTCATGTACAAACATCAATTCTACTACAGACAAGAAGTGTGAGTGCAAAGAAATCAGCCCTGCATTTTGCAGAGTCAGTTGGAGAGCTCCGTGTTTGCCGCATTGTTTTTCTCAACCATGCTGTTGGTATGGAATCAGATTTGACAACATGATGTTGTATAACATTGTATATGGATGAAAGCAACAATTCATCACGATATATGATGATATCATACTACTATGTACAATCTAGAATTGCTGTTTGCTTGCATTTACCTCATCAGTTTCCTGCTTGTCAGTGTTGAACCTTAGGGTGGACAAGGTGAGGTATAAACATTGGAGTTTCTGGCTTTGTCATTGTATAGTGAAATGAAAGATTGAGCAATATATGAGGTTAATTTGTGTGTGACCGCACGAAAGAGGCTGCCGATTCAACAGAAGAACGGGCATGAAAGATGAACGCGGATGTTGAAAGCTGACAAACTCTGCACGGAGTCTTTTCAACCATACGGACCATACGCTACATATAGAGATGTAAAAGATGTGTGCATGGCTCGCCAACTCCCATTGCGTGACGGAAGCATAATGAGCCAAGCGAAAGGAACGAAACAAAACACAATTTGTAGTCTTTAGCACCTTTGTTGCAGCGGTGCCCTGTTGAGCAAGTTGTGAATTTTGATCTTGAACGCCTTCAGGCATAGCTTCAAGTACCGGAAGCTTTCGGAAGACGAACGCCTGCCTGGTTTCGTCATACAATCTGTTGACAACCCAATTCAGTGATTTGCCTTAAACATAGCCGTTTTGTTTAGGAGAGTGAACATGGGCAAGGCAGACTGCCATCTTAGGTACTGCATTCATCCCTACGGAGGCAACGACAGGCCAAGTTCCGTAGCCCCAGTGGGTTGTGTGTTGTGTGTTTCTTGGAAAAGTAGTTTGGATTTTTCATACAAATCTCTATGGAGGCCGCTAGTAGCTTGGAGTTGTGCCACACCTTGACCCTGTTCGCCTCAGGCCCCCTGTTGGGACAGAGCTCATCAATCATAAACAGTGCGAACTAGGCGACCGACCTTTCATGACAGTTCTGTTAGTAGTAAGGCCAGGAGCCCCTAGTAGCGATGCACTTGTTCCTAATAGCTTCTTGCTCCTAGTAGTAAGGCCAGGAGCCCCTAGTAGCTTCTTGTTCCTGCAAGTCTGATCTCTTGCTTTCCCAGGTGTTGACAAGAAAAACATGGGGCCTTTGTAACACAATCGAGAAAAGTTCGAAGTGATGAATTACTTCGAAATCAATTTGGACGTTCATCGTCCTTCCAGGGCGAAATGCTTTGAGATTCCGAGTTGGTGACCCTATCCAGCTTGCCAAGGAGGAGACACAAAACGAAGCGTGAGTTATCCTGCGTCCTAGCTAGTAGCTTACTCCTTTAATGATAAGTAGGCGTCTAGGAGCAAGGACGCTACTAGGGGCTCCTGGCATCGCTACTAGGAACAAGACCGCGACTAGGAACAAGTGCATCGCTTCTAGTAACAAGTGCCTTACTAGTAGTAACAAGAAGCTACTAGGAACAAGTGCATCGCTACTAGTAACAAGTGCCTTACTAGTAGTAACAA